GGGGGGGGGGGGGGTAGTTTAGTGTCTTACTCAAGTCATTTGATTACTCGGCATTGTTGTGTTGGTACAACAATGCCGAGTGAACAAATATAACGTGACATTGTTTGATGACGTCATTTTTTGACAACGGGGAATCAGAAATTTTTATAGTAATATAATGTGTACTCAACAATGAAAACCAATTTCTATGACCACTATCTCTTATACAGTCTCAAGAGCAACCTGGAATAATGTCTTCCTGTACATTAAAGGCTGATGCATGAAATACAATAGAATACAGAAGTTTGTTTATTTTGTGGTCACGTTTAATGCAAGATTAGAATATAGTTTATGCAATCTGTTTCTGAAATTTCAATGGGTACACCCTAACATGCATTAATTACTCTTACACAAAGCTGGAAAGATGTACCCATTAATGGGAATATGATATGATGCAATTGTGAAGTTCCCAAATTTACTTTTAATGTCACATACTCAAATCCCAAAAAGAACACCTGTGCTATGAATGCAGCTAATGTGTGCTTAAATTTAAATTTCCAAATGAACAATCATAAAGTTTCCCACATTAATGTAATTTATCACATGTAAAAACAGCCCTTTACATAAATTCATTAAACTGTATTTGTTCAGAAGCTGTCAACCTCAGAACAGTGAAGACAGGAGATGACCTATCAAACCAGAATAAGACACATTACTACAAAGGCATTTTTAAGCATAGTACGTAGGTGGGATGGTGAGATCTTGCAGGACTGCCAACTGTTGCTCTGTGAACTTCAGACTGTGCTGTTCCCAGCTGTCATGATGTGTTCGCTTGAAGTCACCAAGCGTCTTCCTGATGGTGGACTGTAGAAGAGAGACAGACATACACACCACAATGAAGCACAACTCATCGTGAATGAAGAGAAGCAACGGACTAATCGTACTTACTGGTATGGGCTGTGGGTCATTGAGGTGGTCTCCCAGGAGCAGGAACATATCTGGCACAAACTCGGGCACATCATATGGGTAGGCGTTGATGAAGGCACAGAGTCCTAGAATTCCCGAGTGACGCAGCTTGAGCGACTGCAGCGTAATCGTGTCCAGTGCATGTTTCTTCTTTAGCCTTGTCTTTGACTTCAGCTTAAACCTCTCCTGCAAACAGAGGTGGCAGTCGGCTCACTGCACCAACTGGCTATTGTGCCATTCACTCACGGTCTGGTGCCTGCCTACCGGCAGATGCTTATTTAACTGCATGGCGTAAAGAGGGACTAACTACAGCATGATGAGCTACACATATATCTGGATTAAATAATGCTGTGTCAACTGCAGGGGTTATATGATCCTAAATAGTAAGTACATAAAGTTTTGAAGTGAGGAAGTAGTGGCCTGTCTTAAGGAGGGCTGAAGAAATCCACACAAAAACTCAATCACGGTACTGGTAGCAGAACCAAGGTTAGAACAGGTGCATGTATCACACAAGAACTCACAATGAGGTCATCCGGTGACTCAATGAAGTTGCAGTGCAGTAAGCCTCCCAGCACCTGTGATGCTTTCTCACGCACTTCGAGCCAGTCATCTTCCAGCAGCCGCAGCACAATGTCCACCACCTGCACCAGACCAATGTTGGTTCTACTGATGACTAATCTACCAGTTACACACAGGTTCATTCAATGACTTTCTGTCAACTGTATGTAATATGTAGTGTTTAATGGCAAGATGAACGTGAATGATCCTTAGGAAGATGTACAATGGTTGTGGCTTATTTTAGTAACTATCCCAGAAATTGCCTGGACTGACTGAGAAAAACCACAAATAACCAGAATAAAGATGGCCGACATGAGATTCGAGACGCAAACCTAGGACCGCTGAAGTACTGACCACTGTGGCAGATCATACTCACCTCATGAGCCCAGACTTGTTTGCTGAGGACAGTGGCCATGTTGTGAAACACAAACACCTGCAAGAACTCCACACAGGATGATCTCGCCCACCACGACGCACTCTCAGACACCTGCAGCAGCAGACATAGGACACGGGTCACCGGCAAATGCGAGCATGGATCACTGGCATGTATGAGCACAAAGTGTCACTCACCTTGCTGACAGAACGCAGCACAACTGGGATGTGTTGTGGTAAGGTGAGAGCCTGCCCCATCAGTGCCAACATAGTGATGCAGGTCTTGCTCAGTTCCTCATCTGCCTCATAGTTGGACATGAGGCACACAAGGGGGAAGAACTCGTAGTATTCGGCGGTCGTCGCGTACTGCACTCGTGCGACGCTCCCGGTCACCCACTTGCAAACTGCAAAAACAAACAAATTATGGAAAATTATAGAACTTGTCAAATTCTAAAAACACACACAAAAATGTAGTACTATTTATTCAGATAAAATTCACCACACACAAGTTATTTGAAAATATACAAAGTAATGCAATTATTACACTGAAATGACTCTCAGAAAATAAAAATTCCAGGCATGGCAGAGGCAGTGGAATGCACGTATTAAATCAGAAGCTGAATACTCTGTAGCTGACCTTAAATGAAATTACTACAGACTGTATTTTGATACTTGCTGCTTCCAACCCACCTGTCTTCAGCAATCGAATCGCCATGTCGCGCTCCTCGCTGTTCGCCTGAATCTTCTGTGACGCGTCTGCCGCCGCGCCAGCGACCTCCCTACTCGAGTTCTCTGCCATGACATAAGGAACCATATTTTAAAGAAATAGCCATACCTCAGAAAGGAAACGTTTCAGTCAGAATGTTACATACTTCTCACGATGATGTGGTTGCCGGAACACTGCACGGCCTCGGGTCCTATCTCATACAGCACAGCGAGCCTGGGCATAAGTTCTGACACAAAAGCGGCGATATGAGGAGAGGAAGTGCAGTTCCCATCATGCAACACAATGTCAGGCTCAAAGATATTTGATATGACACTGCAATATGAACCAGAACGCAACATTTCATTACACTGTGATATTCATTACCTCATTAAAATAACAAATATTTTACAGACTCATTAAAAAACATGCCACTTGAACAGTAAACCAAAGCATCATTAGCACATCACATTCAGATAGGCAGAGTAACCCAAGCACTCCTCAGCATGTCTTTGTCTGTTGAACACACACCAATCAGTTAACATACAGATACCATTTCAACTCAACTTCACTGATTATTACGTCAGACTGGCAGAATAGTTGCGCTTGAGCAAGAAAGAGCTGCACTACTGATGTTACAATTACTGTCTACTGCACACAGAATACAAACCTTCCCAGCCTTTCACGAACGTTCTGGAATGAATGCGTGAGGAACGGTTTCAAGTAATTCAGCAACCGGTGGAATAACTCTGAGACACGCCACACTTGCTGATTCAGAGCACCTTGTAGCGCGTACAGTCGCCTGCAACATACGACGTACAGAGTGACCCATGTGCGATGCCTCCACAGGATTATACAGACAGACCAACACTTACCCACACTCAATGAAGGAGGCCTCATCACGCAGGGGCTCTTCCACCAGCAACTCCAGCAACCAATGATGTCGGTTTGGGTCCCTGTTCTCCTGTGTGCAGAATACATTAGGCAGCAGCGTAACCAAAAATGAAAACATATGAATGCTGTTTCTCCAATTGACTGGGGTAAACAGGTTCACCACTAAAATACTCACAAATGGCTCATTCAATCAGATATGAACTGAATTTTAATATCTCTGAGTTCAGCACTGCTAAAATAACACAATTTTTATCAGCAAAATTTCATCCTACTTTCCAAAAGGTGTTCTACACAAATCTAGTATCTCACACATGCAGGTATTTTCCCCAGCTTTTCCATTTCCAGGCTTCTGCAACTTCAATTTATCCCTGACAACAAGCTGCAGTGTCTCACAAAACAACAGGCAGAATAAGCACGTCACATATAATTTAATATTTAGTGCCTCATGAACATGGTATCACCAACTGAACAATAATAAACATTTTTTGAATTTATACTTCTCTTCTCATCCTCATAAAACTCCTTTTACATGATTATGGTTATCCTCGGAAAATTACTTTTTGCCTTGTTTTGCTGACACTGATTTCGACTTCACGTGCTCATTTTGACATGCATTAACTTCCCGACAAAAAATAACAAAATGCAACAGTCACACATGTAAGAAAACACAGAAACATCTTCAGAGTACCAGAACTCACGCACGCAAAAGAACTGCAATAATTTTTCCTTAAAATAATGTGCAAGTGTGATGGAATGATTGAATTTTAGGTTAGCTGACAACATTTCTGATTGCAGAATTTATATAACACCAAATTAGATGGAAAGGTTGTGTTAAATTACGAGTATGTAAGGACTTGAATGGAGGTGGTCATGGCCTATTTCAAGGTATCTGTCTGTAAGACTTGTGTTAAGTGATAACCCAACCAAAGATTTGGAGCAGGTACCTTCCAAATATAAGTTTAGAATGTAATGATTTCGCCCAGTTGCTCAGTGGACAGGGAAACTTCCTTTTCCTTCTCAATGAAATAAGTGCCAACATAACAGCATGTGACTCACCGCTGCAGTGGCAAAGCATATGCCCCAGTCTGTGACGGTCTCCACAGTAATGTTGAGCAATGCAAGACGGATGATGGGCGTCAATGATTCCCACAGAGCAGATACCTTGTGGAAGGGCCAGTGCTTGGCCCCCCGGATCATTCCTGCATGCAAAACAAAATGAGATGCTGCTCTGACCGATTGACCGATGTCCGTGACGTTTCAAAGAAGCGCAACTCACCGGCAATGACTTCTGCAGCACAGCGCTGGCTACTCTCATGTTTGTCTGTTACCAGGCGCTCCAGGTGAGGTAGGAAGTACTTGAGGTGCACGTCTCCGTGGTTTCGGAAAAGGCCCTATCAACACAAACAAAGTGCTGAGAGTTGTTGACAGTGTCTTCCCATACAGACAGATGGCACAAAAACAACCAACAGACAAGCAACCAGTTGGTAAGGGTGGGTGAGAAGATCAAAGATACAAGAAAACTTACACAAACAATGAAATTCTGCATGATCGCAAGATAAAAACCTTCCCTAAACTCTTGTGCATCACTAAAAATTACAAACACAGCAACAGTAGAGAACTTTGAAGTTATGACTTACAAATTTAGACTGAATATCTACAGCAGGGGGTAATCATGCACACATGTCACTAGTATAATTATTAATGTGTGACAGCCTCCCTACAAACACAGAAAACTGAATAATGATCCTATTGTTGGAATGATAGGCAAAGTCATGTGACATACTGAACTTGCACAGTACCTTGAACATGATGAAGCGAAAGCCATTGAATTTGTCTTTGCCTTTCTTCTCTTCAAGGGCAAGGAATTCAATCAGCCGGTCAACATTGTTCTGGTCTGAGAAAAACAAGAAGACCTCTTTCTCTGCATCTGTCAGCTCATTAAGCTTCCGGTCCAGTGCCGGCTGATCCCCAGAAGGAGCATAAACTTGTAGTTGTCTGCAAACAGTTCCGAACATAAGACATGACGATAGAATGGACAGAATGATCTACAAGACAGTTCAAAGAATACTCAAAATAACAAGGAAAGTGTCTGACAGGAAAACCTGAAAATTTTCAAATTGCCTCTCTTTGCATAATTTATGCATTCATCCTTTTAGACAACAGATAAAAAAATTACTGTTTAAAGGTTTCTCATAATGGTGCATTATATATATATATATATATATTATATATATGACATTATTCTTTTAGACTTTGTCCAACATCCAAATTATAAAATAATAAAACTACAATATTTCAAAGGCTGTATTCCAGAGATCTTTGGCTGGTCCAGTTATGAAAGCTGCCATTATACAATACACTGCATACCTGAAAATGAAGTGCTGGAACAGAGTCTAATTCATGAGTTCACATCCACAAGACAGACTGACGTCCACTTTTCAAATAATGAAGCCTCTACTGACAGCTTGAGGGCTTTCAAAAGACTGCCCACCGGATCATGTGACACAAGAATGGAAACACAAGTAAGTTGTGTCACTCACTTAGGCCAACAGTAGAAGCCATGATATGGCTTGTGAATGTAGCGGGGAGTGTCCCATTCTTCAGCTGTCAGGGGCCGGGTCTCACTGCAGTACTGCACCCACATGTTGTCAGCACGTTCCCCAGGGCCTTCAGCCCTCTTACCCTCTGAGAAACTCAATGGATCTACAGAAATCTTCTTGTGGGAACGTTTTTGCTGCTTGAGCAGAAATACTGTGCTGCGGATAGCAATCTGGAAACAAGACAGAGTGAAAACACTACTGCTGAACACCACATATCTTCCTAAGCACAAAGTTTAGTTCCATACCTTCCTTAGCTCCAGGGAGTCATGTATGAGTGTGAGCAAAAAATAACGCACAATCCTTGCAGGATAAGCCAGGTCAGGATGAACAAGATCCCTCAGAAAACTTAGCGCCATCGCATGGTAGCGCCAGTGCCTGTAACAATATGTATCTGCTCATAGTCTCCACATAGGTATTAAACATGCAACAACATAATGACGTGTACTCTTGGCCTTCCTTCAACATTTATTTATCTGCCTCCAACAGAGAGCTCTCTTAGTTACAGGAAGCTTACACATTGTAATACAAAACATGACTGCTCTACAAAAGAGAAAAGAAAACAAAAGAAAAATCACATACCTCTCAATGCAATATCCAAAGAAGTCAGTAAGGGACTGAACTGGTGCAACACAGGGTCCACAAGTGCACTTTTGTAGTAATAATGACAAACTGTGAATACCTGTGTTTGGTTTTGGCTCATCAGTAAATAGAGGAATCTGATGGCCACAGCTAACCACATTCAGAGCCATGGTTCCCACCCCTCTTCACAGTGTGCCATATGAACTTCCAGCACAGAGGTAGGAGGAGAATACTTTTCACATGCTGATACAACAGAACAGCACAGTTGCTACTCAAAATCTGTTCAACATTTGGAATGTGATATGGGTATAGAATTTGCAAAATGGCATCTTTCACCTACTCACAAGTTTTCATGCTCCATGGCATCAATTAGGGAGCTCAGCAGAGCTTGGTACTGATCTAAATTGTAATGGTTCCTGTCTTCCAGCTGCTGTGAGCCAACAGCAACCTCCTCTTCTGACACGACTGGGAAGCAGGGAGCTGGATCTGACTTCCAAAGCCTGCGAGCTGCGTCAAGGCACGGATCTGGTATCTGTTGGCACAGATAAGAGTAACAATATGACCACTGCTGGTGACTGTACTGACAGCTGGTGAACAGTAATACTCACCTGAAGGCTGATAGTGATTGTGGGGAAGTGCTTGTGAACCGTCTCCACGATATTCTCCATCAGACGGATGACAGACAACTTCTCCGAGGGCTTTGAGCAGACAATGGCAGGCCAGAGGTTTAACAACATCTCCCAGTTGTGCCGGGTCACCAGGGGGTTCTGCCTTGGACCGAGCAGCACATACAGTGTACCCTGGAAGACATGGCATCATAGTTTATTTTGTTATACGCTAATATTCAACAATCTGCAACTCACATGTGAAAAAGGCAATGCATATTTTAAGGTACAATTTCCAGTCCTACCCAAAGTTATTCAAGTGAAACAATTTAATACATTCTGAATGCCAATCCTTGTCATCTGAAATGTCACATGGGGTCTTCCCAATGACAGCCCCACTAACAAAAAATATTTGCTTCTTGTCTGTTACTCCAGCTTTCAGAAATCAGCCTGGCAATATAACATGTCATGCAATATAAATGATCACCTGAAGTTCTGACGGAATTTGTTCAGCTTCCATCAGATGAAAAAAGGTGGACATGCATGAAAATGTGACAGAGTATGTTACTTAAATATCCTACAGATCAAATTATGACATTAAGACCACCTTGAACTGCTCGTGGAACTGGTTTGAATCCTGCCGCAGGTTCGTTAGCAAGTGAGGGATGAGCACTGTGTAGGAGTAGGAGAACTGATCAAGCGCCGTGAAGAGCTTCACTTGGGCCCGAGAACGCACCTGCAATACAGAGCATGACTTGGTGATGAGACGAGCAGAGGACAGGTGAGACACGTGCTGCCCTGTTTGAACAGACTGCACAGATACTCACCTCACTGTAATGACTGGAGCTGAGTTTCAGGAGGCTCAGCATGATCTGGCAGTGAGTTGGGGTGAGACACATGCTGCCTCGCTCTAGCAGGGACTCGTGCTGCAACATGGTCCGGTCTATGAGGAGGGCACGCAGGTGCTGCTTCTGTCCAACAAGCTTATTTTCGAGAACTTTTTTTACAACGCGGAAGTTCTTCCAGTGCATCTCGTAGCTGCTCTTAGAACCAAAGCGGTCGATAAGCAGGTACTCCCATAGCTGCAACATAAAATTTTGTTTCTGTGACACAGGATTATGACCACAACACTCACATTGCAAGTGAGACAGAGACTCACCACGATGAGACTAAAGAAAGACTTGGTGTCATCCTCCCTAGTAAGCAGCAGCTTCTCTTGCAGCTGGTTTACTGTGTCTGCTACCTTTTTTCGTACATTGCTACCATCTGGCATTGTGACATTCCCCGCCCCAACATCAAGACTTGGTACAAATGGAGTGACGGCCAAGCTACTCTCAATCCTGCACAGAAAGAACATGCAACAGTTTCACATATACAGCCTGCACTCGTTAGATGAGTAACAGTTCTTAAGGCTATGCTGTTACTCACAGCTTGACAGGCAGCTCATCCCACACAGGCAGCATGGAGCGGCAACCCAGCACAGCAATCACAATGCCCAGGCTACAATGCAGCTCCTCCCTGCAACAACACCCAAACGGTTTCACTCCACAGCTTGCAAACCTCACTGATAGTTATTTCACTCTGGTTTGCAATTTACCTGGTTAGCTGAAGCTCATCGCTGATGAATTTCTCAACACGCTGCAGCTCAGGAGGCAGATACCTACTGATGAGTGACTGCACACAAGCAACTTCATTGTTACCTGGCACATACCACTTTAGCTGCATGCTGTAAGGGTTGCCCGGCTTTCCCCAGTCCTGCCAACACAACAACATCATGGAAAACACTGAAGTGAAGACAATACAGCATAAAGAGAAAAGCCTTCATACCTTTATGGGCAGGTAATCCTTGACGGGCCGATCGAAGGATCCGGCAATGCTGCGGTAGTCTACTGGAGTTACAGATGTCAGGCTGGACAAGACATGACGCAGGATACAGCTTGAAGACAGGTACCCCTCACGACACGTCAGATGCAGCGTACGGTCCATCACCTGCTGCAGCGTGGCCACATAGGGCAGCAGAGCACTGCCACGGCAGTCGACCACCTCAATACAAATACATGACATGCTATTTCTTTCCTAAATTCAATTTTAAGTTTCTAATTTATGTGGTTGTCTTAGATTCAAGGCATGCCCATGTTGTGGTTCATTTCATTGGAACAGTCTGACAGAATATAACAATGAACATTTAATTACATATTATATAAGTAATTTCAACTATTAAAATTAATTTAAATTACTTAAATAATTTACACTGCATAAAATGTAAAATGATTTAATTTAACTGCAGCAATTATGAATGCAACAAGACAAATACTTTAATCCTTTGTGTTTGTATTATATTACTTATGATTATAAAAAAATCTTGTAATTCTTAGTTGTTCTGTCAAAAATGTGAAGTATGCACAGTGTTTTAAAAAATAAAAAACAGTAATAATAATAATAATAAAAAACGAAGATCAAAGACATGGTTGTCACAAAATTCACATAAAGCAGAATGTCCTAGGAAGAAGCTATCTGATGCTTACCCAGTGTGTATGAAATGTAAATAAAAACAATGCAGTAAGTCAGACCTGACCGTCACTGTGAGGACTCACTTCAGATAGTAGCAGCAGGTTGTACAGCAGCTCATTGTCAAGGATGTCCTCCTGCAGAACATCATCACTTTCCACCAGAGCGAGCACAGTGTCACACAGGTGTGGCACCAGCACTCGCAGTGTCTCCTCAGGGTTCACCTAGAAACAGATCAATGTACAATCAGTTCACTCATGACGCAGAATATTCAACTTGGCAAGAAATTCCCTGCCTTACAGAATCAAAGCCACACCTGTCATAGGCCTCTAAGCTCAAAGCTCACCCAGAATTCTTTAACATCCTCTTTATCTATGCCCAGTCTGATCCCTGGAGATTTTCTGCAAGAATTTTGCATCCAAAAGTGCAAATTACACAGTCTCAGGTTCAGACTGAGAATGACACAAAACAGAAGGAATTCTTCTGTGCTACACCCACATAAAATACAAGCACATGGTTTGAACGTCTCCCCGCTGCTCACCTTGGCAAATGAACGAACCACTGTTGCCATAAAGTGTCCTGCAACCTTTGTCTCAAGGATGTGTCCAGTCACAAAGGAGTGAAGCTTCTTTAGGGCTGACTGAAACAATATACAAAAGGGAAACAGTCTTTGTACAGTAAATTCAGCAAATTCTTTATACTATGTTTATTCATTTGTGCCAGTGTTTGTTTATAGGTCTTGACAGGAGCCTGCATTAGTGTCACTATTTATTTCTATAATGCTTTTCAGCTGAATTGGCGGCTGGAGCGTGCACCAATCACATGTACTGTGCCTTGGTAGGAAGTAAAGGAGGGAGGCGGAGGGGCGAGAAGGTGAGGAGACAATATACCGTGGTGCAAGATGTAGCATTGGTCTCCAGTGAATGGTTATAACACTAATCAAAGTACACGTAAGAACTGGCAACAACGCGGTGCGGCTGCCGATGCTTCTACCACGGGGTTTCTGAACAGACTGAGGTCTAGCTGCTTACCAGCAGACCTCCTTTGTGCTGATTGGTCACTCTCAAAGAGCAGAACTTGACTCAGCCGCCAATTCCACTGAAAAACATAATAATTGCCTCAATCATTAGGCATACTTCCTGTCCTTGATGAACCACAATTTTGTAACTGTTTTAAGTGAGACAGTCAAATGCTGTCTTTATAAAATTTGTGGTTTAAATTACAGAAGCAAACACTGAGAAGCTTAGTGTTTCCATGATAATGCAAAACAAAGTGGTTAGATTTCTTCTACACAAAAAACCTACTGTCTGGCACCACAATAAATTAGAAACAAATGCCAGAAGGCAGCTCACAGTTATTCTTTGTTAAACTTCACAAGATGTATTAAATACAAAACTGTTAAAGAGAAACAGATTAACATTTATTGCCCATACAACACGCATAATCCAACTGTCCATGTGCTGCACTTGACAACATCAGTAATTAAGAAGGAACACTGACAATTATAACTGCCTCCATCAGGCCATTCTGTTCTTCTTCCTGAGCCTCAATGCCAGTACTGCACCTGCATTAAAAATAATGTGCATTCTATCCCCCAAAAAACTGAGCATGCAACTGTCACCTTAATGAGAATTACAATCAAGGCAATGGCTCCTATGTCCAGTTCAAATCCAGGAATATGAACATTAAGGAATGTAAAACAACTGGTTCTGTTCTGCCCTGGGGAAGGATTCTGAGAAGTCCAAAAGATAGGACGCAAGACTCTAATTTAATACTTTAAGAAGGTATGATGTGGTGATCATGCAACTATGATGATAGAAAAGAGAAATTAAACTCTTGGAAAACAACAGCTCTGTGGGAGGGGTGGAAAAAATGTTGGAAAATGGGTTTTGGTAATGTAACGTAGACTGGACTGAATTTGCTCAAGATCAGACCCAATGGTGGGCACCAATGCAAAGGATGTTGAATGTACTGTGGGCAGATGCAGCTTAAAATTTTTCCTACCTTGAAGATGTGAGATGAGGTCTGCATGAGCACAGAAGTACAGGTGGAAGACAGCGCTCCCTCCGCCATATTTTCCAGTTTGCTCCGCTTGTCCTCCTCACGCTCCAACCGAGTCACTTCCATGGAACTGCTCTCGATGAGCGCAAAGCAGCGGTCCAGAAACTGCAGCACAAAGTCTTCAAAGTCTGCTGTGGCCAGGCAGATTGTCTCCTCTTCCTGCAAGCAGGCAACAAGTGTCACAGTCTGCTCCTGTCAACTATCCAGCATTAATGAATGTTTCTACAGTACCTCTGTCAGACTGTTCCAGTACTTCGAGGCAGACGAGCAGTCCACAATGGGGACCAACGTTGCAAATGTGGAGATGAACTGGAATGTGACAAAGCACTTCTTGATGTCATTTGGGTCTATTCCCGGCAGTGTCGACATGAGCAACGGAATGACGTGAGTTGATCCTTCCTTATAACTACCACCCTGCACCATCGGACGTGCCACTGCGACCATGCACTGCATGGCTGCCGTAAGCTTGTGGGGCTCTGTTAGCACCTCCAAGCTGGAGTACATCCTGGAAACATTGCACAAGGTTATATACTGGAAATAAGCCATGCTCTGTTTAAATTCTACCTGATCATACAGCCAACCTATCAATTATCTGAGGGATGATGATGGCTGGACGCAGTGTTGCCAGATGCTGCAATGCCTGGCTCACTTCTACAAGACCCATCTTGGAGAACATGGCTTGCATAGCAACAGGTTTGATGGACTCCACAAAGTTAGTGATGTCCTCCTCCGTGAGTCTGTGACTATCTGGTATGGGCGTCTCCCAAGTCAGCTTCTTGTACCGCTCTCTACAACAGATCACAAATGGCATCACCTAAAAGGGGGCTGATTGCACTGAATGAGACACAAGCTTTTCACTTTAAAGTACTAGCCCAGGACTGAGCATGAGATCAGATAAAATATATATGATATCATGGCTCAAGCAGTTCTGAGTAGACACACAAGCTGCTGAAGTGTGGGTTATTATAGTTACTTGGGCAGCAATACTGTCTGAATT